TTGTTATCACCTTTTTGTTGTAATCTTGTTGTGTACACTTGACCTAAAATGTGTGAAAACTATAACGTTTATTTTGTTGTTCTTTCATTATAAAACCTCGTTATGTCTTGAAGTAAAAGCGGAGCTGTTATTCTTTTTGTCCTTTACATTAACAACAGTAACCTAACACCAGGACAAATGTCTTTACTTAAATACGCGCCAACTACATCATGTGACGTTGAACGGAGCTTCAGTCAATACAAAGCCATACTACGATCTAATCGCCGAGCATTCATTTTCGAAAATTTGAAAAAATATGTGGTTGTAGCATGTAACACACGTAGTCAATGCGAATTATAAATTTTATAAATTTTAAATTATTTTATTTTATTTTTAAGACAAACAGCCAACCTGTATTTCAATAAATAAATCTTTTTTTTGTAACTATATTTTTGTGTTTATCTTATAAAAATTAAAATGCATATTTTTGCATATTTTGGTAAATAAAATGCATATTTTACAATTTTTTATTGCATACAAATCCTAGCCCTGGACATCAGCATATTTTGACTATAAGACACTCGGTTCTCAGGATTTTTAAATCATTATTATTTACCAATTTTTTCAAAATTCATTATTCCACTAACAATTAATATGTTTATTTATAATGAATAAAAAAAAAATGTTTTTAAAAAAAATGTATGTCTAAATCCAAATACATATATTAATTTTTAATGTTTAAGAGGACGGTGCACGAATATTTGTTGTCTCCATCTTTCAAGTGTTATATTATATGTTGTATATGTTATATATCCTGATGTGCTGTTATAATGTTATTATTATATTATATGTTGAGTATTTTATAAATTAAGCAGGGAAGGGTGTCAGCACCGCATTAATTATAAGGGGGAAACCACTGGGGACGACAGGGAGCCAGTCAGTGCGTCGCGTTTGTGCCATCGACACCGCGTCAGTGTCGGATGCTGGGCACTTATATTGTTTGTTTTAATAAAGTGTTTCTTACATTATATGAGTCTATGAGTTGCCATCTTTATGAGTACCTTATAACACAAGCGAGCGACATTTAATAATGTAAATTGTTTACACATCTTAAAATACTCATAAATCACTTTAAAATTTAAATATATACAAGAAGTCTATATTCCCATGGCTCTTATAGTTTCTGCTTTAATGATTATTCAAATTGCTACTCATTAAATTCAAGATCACATTTATAAAAAAAAAGAAATACCTTATTTATTATTGTCATATTTTGTTTTATTTTATCACATTGTAAAAGCAGTCTACAGTTCTATTAATTGATCATTAACATTGCAACTTAGCTAACAATAAGATGTCACAGGTACTCAACTCTTCTCATAGACAATATTCACTTCAACAACACCTTGACCGTTGACCCAAAATCTGATGAGTCCAAAAAAGTTGACACATTACTCCTTATCTTTGAAGACTATAATATAAAAGAAAAAAAATAATCCGTTCACTATTTAAACACACCTGATATTGTTAGAGGCGAAAATTAAAGGAGATATTAGAAATATAAAAGAAAAAGCAAGAACAACTGTATTAACTCCAAAAATGTAGTAAATCAATCTGTGGAAAGTCACACAACATCAAAAATTATAAAAATTGCTATTGTAATATAATTGGTCAATAACCAAAGACAGTAAAAAATTCTAGATTAAGTGGGAAGAGAATGGATTAAAGAACAACAACCTCTAGGAAATCCAGTAAATGTTAGAAATTTAATAATTTCTGGTGAATATTCAGTAACAAACAAAGGTAACATGTTTTTTTTTAAGATAGTAAAATTCAAAAGTGTAGGTGTATAAATATTTTCAACTTCAGAAATGTTTAAGATGTTATAAGAATACTCTAGTTAGTTGGTTAATGGTACATTTCGTTCAGTGCCACTTTACACTAAACATGGTACATAATTAAATATATATTATGTTATTTGTTTTTGTGGTTACTCTATAATATTAATACCACAGTTTTATTGATCATTGATTATTAAGAAATTTTTGTCACTTATCATTTATCAACATAAGTACTTAACCACCAATTTATTTTAAAATATCTCTTTATAAAATAATGTAAAATATAGCTTGATATGATTGTGAATGTGTGATTTTTTAAGCATGCTCACCCCATCATGCGTAGAATTTGAATTTTTTCTTATACAATTTAGAGCACTAAATGCAAAAAACCACTTTACTTACCACTGAATATTATGAGTAAAATGTTCCCTTTTGAAATGCTATACATTTGTATAAGCAAGTTATTTTTAAAAATTTAGTATTATTTACAATTTAAATTGTTCATGAAATAAATAAATTTATTAAATGAACATTTTTCAGGGTTAAAAGTGGGAAGATACTATATGTATTAGACATTAAACATAAAATGATACATGTAACTCTTAAAACTATGTAGAGACATTAGTCTACTTTGGAATTGTTGCATTTTAAGCTCTGGATGTAAGTATTGAAATATTAAATGGTAACAGAAAATCAAATGAGAATAATTATTTTTAGGGTATTACATTCTCAGCCCTAATAAAAACTTAAAAATATTTTATAAATATAATATTATATGCATTTATTACAATGAAAAAATAAATACCATAAAAATAGGGAATTATAACATGCTGAATGAGAGTAGATGACTTTTTCATTTAAAAACAAATAATACTTGCACATTAATACTGTATTTATAAAGTATTAGGTATTTAAATGGCTTTTTTTGACATTTTAAGTTTTGTTACTGTGTTTCTGCATTTTGGGCAGTACCATTTTCCTCGTGGTGGTTTTTTAATACCAACACAGCCACTATGAAACCATTCTGTTATACACTAGAACAGAAAACATTGATTATTTAACTAAACAATAGAATAAAGATAACTAACAAAAAACATTTGATATATACTATTGATTAAAAGTACTTATTCTTTTTTTCTTATTTATTATTGCCTATTGTACAAACCCTTTTGTTGTCACATGCAACCATTGTACCAAAAGCAACTTGATCACATATACAATAACGAGGTTCACTTGCATCAATTATTCCATCAAAAATATTATAATCAGGACTTCCTAAATTTGATATTCTTTGTATACATTTTCTGAAACAAAATCAATACAAATTTTTGGGATACAGAAGTTTTATTTTAGTCGTTTAATATTTAATAATATTTACCTTTCATGTTTTCTTGTTCCATTTGTATTAGAAGTAATAACTTTTAGCACATCCCCATTATAGGATACATTTTGTCCATGGTTGGACGTATTCATTTTTTTTTTATCACATGTTCTAAAAATTATTTTCAAGATTATAAAATATCAGTAATAAACAAAAGTACACTATTTTTTGTACTGTAGTTAGTTGTTTACCTTTTTTTTGAATCAGAAACTGCTAAATGTGCATTATTAAACAATTCTGACCTTTCCACATCCAACTCAGAGCTCATCGTTTCTTCATATTTTATTTTTTTGTTAACTTTTTTCATTTTAACTGTATTATTACAATTTTCAGACAACTAAAAATAAATACTGATATTAACATTAAGACAAGGATGGTGGAACATTTTAGTTTATTTTCACTTGTTCATTCGTAATTTGTTTATTGAAAACAATTTAGTAAAAACTACTTGAACTATTGTCATAGATAAGAAGACCATTTGTTTACCATAAAAAGTAGAGGAATTTAATTAAACATGCAATATTGTTTTTGTTTATTGATGAAGAAAAATGTAAAACTATATTGGAGAAATTGGATTTTTCAACTATAGATACAGCCGAATTCTCAGATCTTTCCTGTTCAAAACCGTATTTCTGCATGATCTCATAATCACTCAACATTTTTATACGTTTTTCGAAATTATTTTGAATTACTATTCAAATTTATTTGACATTTTAATTTATAAGAAACAATTGACATTCAAAATTGTCTATACTGAACACTTTTAAAATCAGGTAGTGATGTCCTCTAAATGGAGAAAATTTAGATTAATTTATTTAAATTTTCAACAAAACAGAAATTATTATGTTACATTATCCAAGTAGTGTACAACCAATGTATAATAGAATAATAGCATTGTTCAATTTAAAATAAAATGCAATTGCAAATAGAGTTTAGAAGTCAATTACAGTTTACAACAACCCCAAACAGACAAAATTACAGATGTTTCTAAACATTGCCAATTTTTACTACCCATTATGTTATTCTAATTACTTAAGAATTCAATTCACTTCTTAGAATTATATGTTTGAGTAATAAAGACAAACATTTTTGGTTCCCAGTAAAAAATTTGATTAAAGTTGGGAGTAGATAAAAATTTAAATTGTAGATAAGATGTATAGAACTGGATACGAAGCCATTATTAATGGACCCAATGTACAATACTACAATGCTGTTACAACTTCGATCTTAACTCTATCTGGATACAATAATACTTTTAATGTCAATATTATAAATTAATATATTTAATAATAAATAAATGATAAGTAGCTTCTGAGATATATAAGCAAATTTAAATACGACTTTTATATTACAAATAGCACAGAATCAATGGAGTCAATACAAATACATATTATTACTTTTACATAATATATGTATTTTAGTATTTTACTTTATTGATGTAATACTACTAACTATATTAAAACACAATAATAAATATTTATTTAATTTTGTTTTTTAAAATATGACACCAATCAACATTACAACGCCTAGGCATTTTGGTATTTATCTTAATCATTACAAATATCTTTACTATTCAAATATTAGTATGAAAAAACTATAATATATATTAACATAAAATAATAATATATAATATAATAGTACAGATAATGTTTAGAGCTGATTAATTTTAGATAGGATTTACTATTCATCTTCAGAATAGACTAAAATAATCTATTATTTCTTATATAATCTAATATTTTATTATCTTATTATTTATAGGATTATATCATTGGCCAATAGATGGCACAGCATTTGTGGTTGTACCAGCATCATTACACTTTGCGTTGTACATTTGGCTCAGACACAGTACTCGGCCAACTCATTAATTTCCACTCATGTATATCTTTGACTGTAACGTTTAGTTAACTAGCCATACCAAATACTCAATAAAGTATTTAGCGATATCAATAAATACCACTGATAATAAAACCCATCAAAAATAATTACAGACAACAATGCCTTATATAAATGCCTTTTTTGTGTTTAATTTGAAATTTATTTGATAGTTTAATACATGACATATGTATTCATGGTACAAATCGATAATACGTATGTTATGTATAAAACTATCAAATCAATTGAAAACTTAACACAAAAAAGGAATTTATAAATAAAAAAGGCAGAAACAATACACCCATCATCTTAAATATAAAATGACAAACATTTGTATATAAAAATTATAACACTACTAATATTATAAAAATAAAAAAACTTTTGCCATCAAATCCGAACCCTACTAATTATTAATTAATAAGTCACTTAAATATTCAGGTACCCATATTATATTTTTATATGTTTGCATCCTCATTCTAAATTTCACCTGAATCAAGCAATTGTTAAAACTAGACGTACCTGATTATTGTTCAATGGAATCACCAAGGGACACGGTTTAAGACGTGTTATCAAAGGCCGTTGATAGATTGTAGTCTGAGATTTATTAAGTTCAATTTCCACATTTCCTTCTGTAGAGTTTTGTGAATATTGTGCGAGTTGATTACCAGATTTTCTGAAAAGTTATTCTTATATTATTGTAAATGTCTGAGAAAAAAGAATAATTTTTTTATTCAAAGGTTAATAATTTACTCTTCATTAAATTTTATTTCATTTGCATTATAACTTTTGCCATCTATATCTGAATCATCAAATGTTTTCGATTTTTCTACTGCATCCGAGCTCATATTATCACAATCTATTTCCATTTTATCCTCAGTAAGTTGTTCAAGCTGTAAAAAAATAATTGTAACTATGTTTTTTAACATTTACGAAACTATGCAGACAAAAAAACATTGTAAAATGTATTTGTTTTTCATTCCTAAATGAAAAAAATAAAATTAGATTTATAAATTCAAATTAAAAAAACTATAGTAGTGAATATTTTTAGTTTAATTCAAAGTATCTAAATGTTATTTGAGTTGTGGAAATAAGCACAATGTTTAATAGGATGAACAATCTCGTAAATCAATTAAAACACCAACAATGTAACTGACATTCAAAATGGCGCTAGCTGTATTATAAAATATTATACATGATTATGCTAAATTATTGTAATTGTATTAAATTGTTTTCATAAATCTATAGTTACTGATACATTTTGAGCTCATAATGGGTCAAGTTGATATAGACATAAGGTATGGTGAAGGAGAAGTCAAACATTTTATGTTAACAAGAATAATGCTATAAATAGATAAATACTAAACTTGATGAAGATAAAAATTCCCAAGATGTAATTCCAAAGTAAAATAACTGCATTAAAACTTTTCCTTATTCAACTACTGAATATGAAAGTGGTTTCAGCGTTTTAAATTTAATTAGCACTAATCATAGGTCTATCTTAACTATGACTAATATTTCTAATTTAATATTGATAAATATAAATGGACTCCCACTTCATTTGTGGAACCCAGAATCTTATGTTAAAAATTGGTGGTCAGTTAATCAACATAAATCAGCAAATGACCCTAGACCAAACTGCGCTCAAAAGAAAGGAGAATATACAGATACATATAAAAGAAGTTTATGGACAATTCTTCAACATGATTCTTTATTATTATATTTGATTTTTATATGATACTAGCTGTCCCGTCACGGCGGTGGCCAAGTATTATATAGCTTTATAAACCCTTTTACACCCTTAGAGGTCGAATTTTAAAAGATCCTTTCTTTGTGCGCCCCTGAATTGCTTAAGGAACTTCTGTACAAAATTTCAAGTCTCTAGACCCAGCGGTTTGGCCTGGGCGTTGATGAGTGAATAGGGGCGGTCTCCTATATGTATATGACTATCTTAGATTTTATTAGTTCAATTTAAAAATAATTCGTTAAGTACCTATAACTGTATTAAAATAAATAAATAATTATTTTTTTTTTGTTTAATTAGCAGAATTACCCATTTCGCCCGTATGTAGTTTCTGCTTTCTCAAAATGAAATTCTTAAATCAACACACATTGTTGTTTTAAAGAAGAAAAAATTGTATTTTACTTTATGCTATTAAGTGCTAAATAGTTGTAGTAGCTGAATTATAAATAAAACAAAAATAATAATAATAATAATAATATTTACAAATAATTCTAATGATTCTATACACAATACACATATTGTAATTAAAAAATTATTCTACAGTTATAATTAAGTATAGTTAAATACATTTACCGCACATCGATAAGAAAAGTATTATTAAGTTTCAATAACGCAATATGTATAATTGAGCTGTTCACTGTTTTCCATACAACTCTTAACTTAATAAAAATGTTATGTTAGTGTATAGTTTATAATTTCAGTAAGTATTTCTACTTAATAAATATAGCGGTACCAGCTGTTGCTAAGTACAATCGTCTGCAGTAGACGATTTAACTGTCGTATCGAAACAAATATCTATTATATCATAATATATCATTTTTAGCTGATCCCCGGCACTTTAAAAATTCTAACTCTATATAAGACTCGCTTGTGATAATGTGAGCAGTATGTTATCAGGTAGTCCAACTGGCGTCTACCTGCTGTGGATTGCGTCAACTGCTAGGTGCACACTCTATATGAATATGTTAAATATTAATTTTATTAATTATTTTGATTGTGTACATGCCGATGAAAGGCTATCAGTGTTACTCAGCCAACAGCCACCTTGTAAGGCAATGTACTAAAATTCGATTTCATGCATTCTTAAACCTGATCTGCTCAATTAACCAATGGCAACTTAAAAAGTTAAAAAATACCAAGTTCCACTAAAAAATTAAGAAAATTACCCGGAAAATTAGTTATTAATTAAAATAAACGTATAAATTGTATACCTACACACATGTCACATATTTTATGACTCAACTACTTCTGGGTGCATGTACCCATTAATTTATTTAAAAATACACCACCGACTAGAACACAATTAATTTTAATTTTTTATTTTACAGAGAGCAACTTCTGCAAGGATTTGTTAAAAAACTGTATTTTCTATTTAATCAACAAATTAAAAATGTATTAAATTATGTTTTTTCCCCCCATAATTTTAGATTCTGATAAATGTATTAATTTTACAATGATGTACCTATGTATTCTATTTAATATCATTTTTCCTCAAAATAACTTAATAATTTATTTTATTACTTATTTATTTTATTTCTTTTTCGTTGTATTAGGTGGCAAGTGGCAGAAATAGTGGTTCGCAGTGAATAGACATTTGTAAAAGTAGTCAGGTACACATTGACATAGTTAAACACCAGAGACTAATTAACAATTCATACATGGGCGGATAGGCCATTTTTGGCCTATCAGGCAATTTTAAAAAGAGGCTCCACATGAAAAAAAAGTTGCTCGCAAGTACAGTATTAGATGAATTATGTTACCTACAATATCAAAACAAAACATTGGACGTGTATGATTTGTCTGTTATATTTGGCAATATTAACATCTAGAAAATCTATAAAATATATTATAACAACATCTATATTCCATTATCAATTGACAATTAAGTACATCTAATTATAAAAGTTTAGTGTTTAAGTTAGGCTTTTACACTTTAAATAATGTTGAAAATTATAAATGTAATAGACACATTAAGAAACACAATTTGTATTTTAAAAATATTAGAAAATTTATTTGACAAACCCTACTTATTTTATACTGCTGATTGCTAATAAGTGTAAAAATTATACTAAGATACCTATAAAATATAGTTTCTTTTGGTTAATATTCTACATGAATACATGATTATATTATAATTATCATAATAATTAATAAGCACCTATATTATATATTTAGTGATGGGCCACAACGAATAAAAACTAACAAATAATTATTCGATACCTAGTTTTTCCAAATAAGTTATTCGAATAATCGTTACGACAAATATTTGAATTATTATTCGAATATGTTTTCAAAAGCAAATTTGATGTAGTAAGTACTTTTGGTAGGTCAAAATTAAAAATCCTCCAGTACTTTTAAAATAATTAGGAAAAAAAAGAAAATTTGTCAAAATTGTTTGGTAACCTTTCACTTAAATTGTATTTGATTAGTTTGAGTTTTTTTCCTACAAATATCAATAAAAAATTATTTGTCCGGTTAAAAAGATAAAAATGTAATAGGTATATACTATATAAGTTTTTATTATAGCTAAAATATTAACGATACATAGGAATGATTATTGTTTATAAGCATTTAAAGTTCAAATGTTGACAAAACCACAGTGTTAATTAATAATTTGTAGTTCAAAACTTAAAAAATATAAGATTATAATATAATATTTCAAATTTGAAATTTCTTTTGTAATTATATAATACTAAAGTGTCATTGCGTTAACCATAAAAAAGGCCCCATTCCCAAAACACGAAGGGGGGCCCACCGGGAAATGCCCGGTTGCCTATCCGCCCATGAATTCATACATTGTTCAGTGTTTATAAATTATGCGAATTTTATAGACTTACTAGAATTATTGTAATTACTGAATTTCACTATATAGTTCATTTATAAAATAGGGAAATACACCTATATACATATAGTACATAGGTGGATTAACAGAAATTTTAAATATAAAAATTACTTACCTTTTTTGTTGCAATGCAATCGATTGCATGTTGAGATTTATCAGCTTTTCGCTTGATTCTAGTCCATTTTCTAACCTTTTTAAGACATTTTATGCAAATAATTTTGGGTTTATTGTCATCTTTATTTACCTAAGAATAAAGGAATTTATGTTATGTCAACAATAGTGGTTACAATAGTTATTATAATATATGCCTATTATGGCAAATAAATGTACATACTTCAACACCCAAACATTTAAGAATCAGATCTTTTAACTGAAAACCTTTTATTGTACTTCCAAAAATATTAGTATAAACAACATTTGGGTCGGATTCTGGTTTACGCATACAAATCCGACAGATTTCAAAATTTTTGCTGTGAAATAGATTTGGCGATGGTCCATTCATTGTAGGTAATTTTGTTAACTACAAGCGAAGTGTACACAGCAAATGCATACGATATGTTCATAAACACAAATACTTGCTACTTCTACAATACCGTCTGCCGTCTACTAGTACATCTCGTGGTCGCGTGGGTACCTGTTGCCTGTTGTGTTGACACCTGCTGTGACAAAATGTTCAATGATGGCCTAGAGTTAACATTTGACTGTTCTAAGGCACATTACACTCAACACGCAAACACTGATACCACACCACACTGTTACTTACCAGTATCATATAATTTTCTACACCTCCATTATACAAGTCGTGGTATTTCTGCACTCGTGAAGATGAAAACTGCACTGCACCATCATATGGGATTTGTATTATCACACAAGCAACGTCAAGAATCAAAGATAATAAGAATATGCACGTGCCACGTCAATGTTAAATATATTTGAGGCCGCAGTCTTGGATGGGAAAATTAATTAGAGGCAATTGAAGCCCTCTTATCACGTAATATCAAAAATAAAACCGCCAAAATAATTAATGATTAAACATATCAAAATACCTATTCAGTTATTAATTACAATTTATTAGTATGGATGTATTATTAATGATGATGAATTGATATGTACCTATTATAATTACCTATTTGAATTCATTTAAGAATATACTATTCTACATATTTTATAATATAAGATTCTACCTTATACACTTAAAGTTAGTACCTATTACTATATAGGTACCTATAACCTACCTATACCTTATTTTACCAATCATAAAGTATTTCAATTTAAAATGATGCTAAAAAGTGTTGAGTATGCCGAAGTAGTACTAAAAGTGATCTGGATTTGTCATTTTATTCATAAGTAATATAAGAACTAAACAATTTATATGTTACGTACTCCATGTATTATATAAAATTCAAAATTTCAAACAACATATTATCAGAATATGTATAACTATTTAAAAGATTTCCTAAACACAAAAAAAAAAGGCTAAATGGATAGAATTGTTATGTCCTGAATGAAGTAAATACATAGCATAGGGCAGTAGTCTTAAACATACCCTTTTCATGTGGCCCGCAATAAAAATTGTAAAAATTGTAATTTTTTTTACAAAAAATTTGTTCTTATTTTTCTATAATGTTTTTAAAGACATAGACTATTATCTAACGTTCAAAATGTTTTTACTTTTACATTAATCGTTCAGAAATTCCATAATACTGGATAAAGTATTTGAAATGCGGTAAATCTAATCTACAAAGATAAATATCATTTGTTCGGTGTAGGTGCAGTAATTGTGGGTAACAGTTTGACTGCGATCAGTGTTGTTTTGTTCACACTAGTTACTAGTTGCTATTCTAGTGTAATTTTAAATTTAAGTTTATAAGCTTAATTTGTTAGTTTAAATGTCTCATATCAAACTGATGAAACTTAAAATTAACCAAATATTTTTTTTAAAGTATATGTTCATCATATTTTTTCAATCATAATGTTTTGTAGTAATATTAAGTGAAGTGTAGAACTACTTAGTTTATGTTTTTATAAATAATTTTGGTAAGAGTAATTATAATAAAAGTAATTTCATTATATATTGAATCATTTAGATAAATTTATTTTCGTTGTATTATTGCCTTCATTTTGTCTTCAGTTTTTAGTGTAAAAGAGGACACTTACAACTTGGTTTGCAAACCTTTTTTCAAAAAATATATGGCCAGTAGGTAATTTGAGTTTGAGATCACTGGCATAGGGTGTGTTTATTGTGTTTTAACCAAAATGACTTCAATGTGTATGATGTAATAGTAATAAATAGAGAGATATAATAATTAAACAAAGTTCGTTAGATTTTAAGTTATAATTTATGTTATAATAAATAATGTCATAACATAAATATTTTATGTAATAATGTATTATAAATATAATTACAACATATCAATTATAAAAATGTGTATACAATAATGTAATAAAACGTAAGGTTATCTATATGATAAAAAAATTGTTTTTGAATATTTATTAGAACAACTAAACTAATATAAAAAAATAAAATATACACATAAAATAAAATAAAAAACTGATTATCACATTATAACTATGGATCTATTAATTATGTATAATGTATATCTTATCTCTTTTTTTTTTTTTTGTTTAATAATTTAATTTAACTTTATCACCAATACAAGCATCGCTGAAAGGTGATAGATTTTTTTGTTACTGAATATTATCTATTGTATACTTTTATTTTATGTAATTACTTTAATTTTTGTTACAAAAATAAATTCTTTAAAAAAAAAATATATTGGATAATAATATCAGATATGTAAATATATATATATATATATTATCTGTTTATATAATATTATATAAATATAAATAACATAGGTAGGTACCTATCAATATGATACAATGCAATTTACTTAAGAATAATTAAAAAGATGATAGGACTATAAGAAGCATAATCAATATATATTATATAGTTTGTGGGTAGATGTATAGTAATGTTTATTATATAACTACCAAAATATTTATACTTAAAAGTTTTGTTGATTTTTTTTAAAGATTATAATTCACGAGTAATCAAATTTAATTTAATTTACTTTTAAACAACGTCTAGGTATAAAAAAAGCAAATACTGGAGATTGAGACATTTTTATATCATTTTGAGGCTTATCTGGCAATTGGACTTCGTGTGGAATTAGTATCTCAAAATTTTGGATCAATTTTGCAATGAAAGTAAATATATACATCTTAGCCAAATTTTCGCCAAGGCACCTTCGTCTACCTGTAGTTTAAAAATTCAAAACCACCTGTTAAATATTTGATTTAAATACTAATGAAGGTATTAAAAATGTATAATATATACTAACCAACACCGAATGGCATAAACCAACTATCATCTATAATCTTCCCTGTACTGTCCAAGAATCTTTCCGGACGAAATACTTCAGGATCACCCCAATGCTGCTCATCCATATGAACACTCCATATACTCGCCATTACTAATGTATCCTGAAAATTATTTTTATAATAATTATTCATATTGTACATATACTATATATATACCGTTGACAAGAGTGCTATTATACTTTTGGTATTATGTATTTTTGTAGGCGAGTTTTTTGAATAGTTCTTTTAGTAGCGATTGCTAACGGAACCACGTTACTATGTCTCTGAACCTCCATCAATACGGCTTCAAGATAATTCAACCTGTAGGTATATAATCACCAATTTTGTTTATAAGAATCATCTATGAATTGTAAGAAAGTCGTAGGCTACTTTTTTTTATCTGAAGGATAGATTTCTCGATCTCCAATTACCAAATCCAACTCTGCATGCACTTTGGTTTGAACATCTTGATTTTTACTGAGATGTAAAATTACTGATGATAACGTGATGCTTGTGGTTTCTGAGCCAGCTAAAAATAAATCCAATAATATTACAACAAGCTGTTCTTCTGAAAACGACCCTAGAGATTCTTTATTTTTCTTAATTTCCATTAAAAATGCATTTATAAAGTCTTTCTGATCATTTTCCTTGCATTTGTGTTCTTCTGCTGATTCCTATATTACATTTCAAAGATAATTAAAATGAGTAAAACAAAACTATTTGGCTAATTTAAAATTACTTTTAATAGTATATATAATTCATTTATTATTTGTTTGAGGTATTTTTTTCCAGAGAATTTGGGGGCAAGATACCGAATGAATGGCAACTGATTTAATATCCCTCCTGGCATATCTAACATTCTGAGACTTTCATGCACTAGTTCTACAATTCTTGCAAGTCTAGAATCATCCAAAGAAAATCTGTCACCGGCTAACATTGCCCAAAGACCGTTTAAAACTGATACTTCAAACAAACCATACACTTCAATTGATTTGCCACTCTAAAATTAAATTCAGTACAGGAATTTTATTCTTTATTAGTAATTGGTAAAAAAATGTACTAAGACACATACCTCATATCTTCTTGTTATGTCTAATACGAAATCGTTAACTTCTTCAATTATAATTTTTTCCATTGCATTACCATCTAATCCCAATTTTCGTAAATGTTGCATGCAAAATTTTCTCTGTGCAGTCCACATTGGACCATCAACAAATGCTATGCCTTATTTTTAAATATCATAAATTATTGATAAATGTTTAAAAATTTTGTTTTGGGAAACACACCTAATCTCTTATAAAAAGCTTTGGTTCTGAAAAAAAATCCATTTGCTTGGCCATCAAAGTCGTCTTTGCACAATACTTGTCGTACTGCGTCATAGCCAGAAACTACTATGGCTTCCATTGGTCCAAATTTTACAGAAAACACTTGACCATAACATTTGGCCAACTTATCCCAAACCAAGTGATAGAATCCTAATTTATTCTTGAGCTTTCGAATTTCTAGATAGTTGCCAAGCAAAGGAACTCTTGTAGGTCCTGTAAATATTTGTTTTGGTTCATCAGTTAGCAGTAATTAATTTTTTATTTATAACTGTGTTCCAATGTTATGTATTTAATGTAAATAATGTTAATATTCTATCAACTACAAAAAAATATTATTTGATATCGAGTAGGGTATTTCCCCTCATTAATTGACATTTTCTCCTTAATAAATGTATTATTTATATACAAAAACTGAAAAAAACTTAGTTTAATTTAAACATAAATGTAACTCAAAATAGTAATAATATGTACCATTTAAAATAAATTTTATTTAATATGTTAAATCTTTAAAATGTGTATGTATTTTTATTCAAAACTGCCAATGAACCATAAAACAATAAAAGTAAATAATTTTATTTAATTCTCAGTTATTGGTAAGATTTGTTTATTGAAAATTTTATAATTGTTCTAAACATATCCTGAGGCTAAAACCCAAGCCTGGGCATTTATTAAGTTAAAAAGTTAAAAGTTAAGTTACTTTTAACTTTTTTAAATTTAATTTTTATTAACTTATTTTTTAACTAAATTGATTTTTATTGATGTAAAGGACAATGCATATTGCATAAATATTTACTTTTTATTATTTTAAATCATGTAACTGGCTATTTATGTATTTAAAAAAGTAATCACTTAACTTTAGTTAATAAGTTAAATGTAAGTTGCTATATAACTATCAACATTTTAAAATATTTTATGTCGACTTAACTTACCTCATTTAAAAATTATCATTAACTTGCCCCGGCTTGTGAACAAAATTAATTCAAGTTTAAATGTAGGTAGGTACACTTACAATTTACATTTTATTAAAATAAATTATTACAAAATTAAATCTATAGCGAATGAAAATTTGTTTAACTTCAACATAATGGATGTGGGATATGACCGTTAGGAAAAAGATAATAACATACTAATTTTTTAGTATTCGTCACCAAACATTATTTACACTTAGGTCTAAATATAATGAATACATAAGAATCAATTTTCTTTTAGAAAATGTACAAGGTAGAGTAAATAATCCTATTTGCACTTGATATAGGTGTTCGCGCATCGCGCCGAGCTAAATATAATATAGTGCGTTATGCAATTCTATGCACAGCGGCGGACCACACTTATCATTTCATTATCCCCATTACCTCTCATTAATTGATGACTTGTGATTTATTATACTAATATTGTAATTATTATAACTATCATTGTTCTTTGTCGCCGATTGTTTTCTACTCTTTTTGTCTTATTGTAATTATCTGTAATTGTTTTTGTCTATAATCATTCATGTGGCCAATTATTATTATTTTTTTTTTTTTGTATTATTATTGGCGTCATACAATCTAACAGCTGCGTCCGCTCTGTTCTGTCATTGTTCTTTAACTTATTTTGGTCTGCTATTAAAGCGATCTTCTTTTATTACATACGTATGTGTAACCCGCTAATAAAGCGAGCACCGATCATGTATCAATATTCAATATTCAAGAAAATATAATCTGAACTGACCAACTATTGAGTCGTAAGTGTTTATTTATTTTTTATTATCATTGCCGTCAAACTTGGCATTCTGTTTTGTTGTCACCATCGAACGTGGTGTCTCATCTTTTTGCACTCTGGGACGACGGATTCACTGCATAAGTCCACCAGCAACATTACGTTGTGTGAGAGGTCGTCCAGATCGTCCAGTTCGACGTCTGCCTACTGCGTCCGCCGACCACTTCCGTTCCAGTCCATCGGCATCTCATGTCTCCAGTAGATTTAAGCTAGTTTACTGTTCCTACTGTTTGTGAGCTCTGTGATCATAACTAACTTGTACCATCATCATTCCCGTGATAGGTTTTTCCCGTACTGGTCGTTGTCGTCGTTCCATGCATATTAAATTGCCTGCCCGTAAGCTACAAGGTGCGAGTACTTGTGTTCTTAATATTGGCCACCATATCATTTTTTTAAAACCGTGTTCTCAGGCATTACCGAGTGGTCCTTCGGGAGTCCTAATATTGGGCGTATACAACAGGTATTTATAAACTTATTAATTATCTATTGAAAATAGCTTTGAAAAACTTCTGCAAACAGAATTTAATAAAAATAAAGAGGTACTATTGTCAAACTTTATAAATTACTTAATGTAATGCATTAAGTTTGACCATTGACTTAAGTTTGCAGTTGTGGGTTTCGCCTTGGCAATCTTGGTAAAGATTAATAAAAAACTTTCGTCTAAGTACCTACAAAGTGCAAAATAAAGAAATAGGCCAATATTTAACGTCTGTATTTGGATTGCGGTTTCTAGAATTCCTATTGCTTTTCGGACGAATTTGATGAAACACAATCTATGAATGAAAAACTGACAAAAATGTTTCGATTATTTAGTAGAAAATTACACCAATTTAACATTTCAATTAGTGTAAGTACTTCAATTCCGATTTTAATTCAGAATTTTATTCACCACGTCCAAATGTATTCGATGATACCTTTTTCATGAAATTTAATAATTATAGGTTTCTAAAAATATTATGTTTAGAGCATCTTATATCGTCGATGTGTCAGTCCGTCCGTAAGTTACCGGTACCTAATAGGCACTATTCTTAACCTAACCTACGGCAGTACATAGTTACGAATGTTGTTGATATTAAGAGGACGCCACCTGCATGTGTTGTCTCCATCTTACAAACGCTTAACATACCAAATTTACGCTCAGCAGTTCACGTTTTATGCCGTTAGCTTAAAATTAGAGTAAATCGACCTATTATGAAACTTGATGATAAGAACTTTATCTGTGTTTTGTTGGAAGTTTTTTTACGAAAATTCAGTTTTTAAGCGAGGTATGCTTGTATAATAAATGTAAATTAAAAATGCTCATAACTCACTTAAAACTGAATTATTGTAAAAAAAACTTCCAACAAAACATAGATAAAGTACTCAACATAAAGTTCCATAATAGGTCGATTCACTCTAATTTTTAAGCTAACGGCATAAAACTTGAACTGCTGAGCGTAAATTTAGTATGTTACTCGTTTGTAAGACTGCGACAACACATGCGGGTGTGGCGTCCCCTTAAAGTATTTATTTGTTGTCCTTAGTTAAGTTAAATAAATTGCTTTGTATGAAATTATAATTTACTGCGTTGTATTAAAATATGTTTAGAAACCGTAAACTTAACAAGCTCGCAGAGTGATATATCCAAACTTGTTTATTTCGTATTTACACATATTATGACATACTAGCTGACCCGGCGAACTTCGCACCACTTAAAAGTCAATCAAAAAAAATATTGATGTGCAAAATTTTGAAAACCGATTTGCAAAGGTTAACGTAACCTCCACAGAAAATTGGCCATTAATTGGCGGACGGAGATGAAACAAACGATGAAATCTTTGGAACAAACAAGTTTACTATATATAATAATTATTATGTACCTAAACTAACCTTTTTATACTAATACATTAATTATATAATCAAATTACCTATAGTGTAACAAAAAAAAAATATTTTTTTCATGGCACACTCTAAAAAAAAAAAGGTAATTTTGAGCACTCAGTGTTCAAAATGTTTGTCATCCCTGTTATAAAGTATTCCAATTATTTACAGGCCCATCTATTGACTGTTATATTGTATTGTATGGTACTTATATTCAATCTCGTTAATACTTAAAAATAAAAATTATACTATGCATTATACGTCTTAACCGAAAATTCTAATACTTTAAATGTGTATATTTTGGTAGTTTAGTACATAGGTTCTTAACCGGGGGTCCGTTGATATTTACTCGGGGGTCCACGGTTCGGCTGTGAGTTTTTTTTAAATAACCCAAAATTAAATTTGTTTGAAATTATTCCATAATATTATTTCATGAACCTTTAAAGTAGAAACTGTTCATTTATAATATATAATAGTAAAGATAATTAAATATATCAATCCAAGGACGAGCAGTGACACATGTCCATAGCTTCCGAAAAAATAAACGCATTTGTAAATAAAATTTCCCTTTGGAAAAGAACACTTTAATTGGAAAATTTAGCAGACAGTCTAACACGAGCTTTCAAAAAATAATATTGCTTTATCCAGTTCCATAAGAACTCAAATTTGTGCAAACTTGATGTGCTTGACAATGTATTTGGCAATTATTTGGATTTTACATATTCGAAATCAGAAATATGGTTACGCGCAGTTCTTTTCTAGTAGAATTTAACGTAATATTAATGATTTAGAGCTTGTTAATACGAATTAACTGATTTAAGATCAAAAGAAATGGCACGCCCCAGATTTCAAACAAAAAATGAAATCGAATTTTGGAATTCGTTGACGAAGGCTTATCCGCGAGCTCTGATTATATTCGCTACTACATAGTTCTATGAGTCTGGATTTTCTACAATGGTCACAATTAAAACTAAAGCAAGAAATCGATTGGACGTTAAGGACGATATGCGAATTGCTCTATCCAATACGGTCCCAAATTTCAAGGTAATATTGGAATCAAAAAACAGCAAATGTCACATTAAAACTTGTTTTCAACCATTATAAAAAGTGATTAATCACAATAATTTAATATTGTATTAAGTATTATCATTAAATTAGTATTTTTTTTTTTGTGCGTTGGGGGGGGGGGTTGGTCAGTGATTATATTTCATACTTCAAAAGGGTCCATGGCCCAGAAAAGGTTAAGAATCAATGGTTTAGTACATCAAATGGTAAGGTACAAAATCCTCTATAAAATTGACTTGAAATATGAAAATTGGTTCTGTTGAGTAAGTATTCCAAAGTATCTATAAATACTTTTTTAAAGAATTTGTATTTGTATTTTAAATTATCTTCAAAATAAGTATGTATATCTGTACTTGAATACTTTTAAAAAGTATTTTTTACAAGATTGCCTACTATACCTATTTCTTATTCATATAATATTTTTATATTAAATGCAGTATGTGTACCTAATGGGTAACTTAAATAATAATCTTACCTGATGGATATTTGGGAGATGTAATAATATCTAAAAAACAAAAAATAATAAAAATAGAAATAACAGCGGCTGCGATAAACATTTTACAATTATTACAAAAATTATATTATAAGACATAAATGGATAAAATACTTTCTGCAGCGTGTCTATACACTGAATGAATGAATTAAAGAAAATATGTTGAATGATCTATTCATTTGACTAATACAACTATATTACTTGGAAGGGGTCTTTAGGTATATCTTCCTTTTATGTACCTATTATGTTTTATCTACGATGCTCTCTGTATTTTGGCGTTCTTCATTTACAAATAAATATAAATACTTTTTGTTGAACACTGAAAACCTATTTACATAACACAACAATCTATGTTTATAACATAATATACCTACATATTATATCTACATATTATACAAGTAGGTATATTATATTATGAATAATTTAGCCAAATATCAAACACATTGATTCATCAGAAAAATATGAATTATCATTATAGGTGAATAAACTAATAAACTATTGAAAAACAGTATTATAATATGCCTACAGGTCTACATATATTAGTATTTTAGTAGCAGCACATGTGAAATATTTACAGTTGTCGACACAATGACCTATTCAATTTTGGGAAAGTTTGTAAAGTAAAAGAAAATATACTGAATACCTACTGATGTCATAAAAATAAAAATAAATGCAATAATACAATTACTATAAAACTTCAATGTACAAGACACATATGGAATACCTAATACATAAATCTATGGGATTATTATATGCCCCAAAATAACACAAAACTATACACAATGAAATAACTTTCAAAATATTCAAATTAATTTTAAGCTATTGTAACTACAAACCTATTCACCTCAGTCTACCATATATCGGTGTCGACTAATATAAAACATACGTTAGTATCAGTTTGTAAATTGTAACATTATAAATTATAATAATAATGATTAAATAGGTACATGATATAGTACAGTTTTTCCTTAAGTATTGTTTGAGCTAGCCCAGTGATTAATATTTTTACCTTTCGTGTCCCACCAAATATTTTACATTGATCATTATGTAAAAAAATCCGAAATAAAACATATTTCTCGATGGTTGGATTGATTTCATACCTGATTAGTGATTATCAATATTATTTTATTTCAAATCACGATATTGAAAAGATATTATAATTTGTAAGACAGATGGTTAATATGTAATCAGGGGCGCCCACCAGTGGCACCGAACCTATATCCCAAGAGGTGCGACCGCCCCCCCCCCTCGGTGGGTGGGGTCTTGGGGGTCCTTGAGTACCCCAACAATCTATTTGTGAATTATGTTCCTAACTCCTAAGCTATTACCTAATGTATACATATTGTGCAGCACTGTAGAAGGCCGTAAGGAATAGCCAATAGGATCATATGAATAAGCAACTGGACCCTGGCTGAGTTAGTGAGTTGGCTGACAATTAGTATAAAATAACTTATTAATAACCTACGCACTACATGCATTAGTAGTTGGTACTATTGTACTAATAATCAAATTTTCTAAAAAATAATAAGATAATAGTAATAAATAAATAAATAATAATTATATTTTACAGATTAAAAATTATTTAGAGTATGTGAATAATATTGTTTGATACCTACCTATAAAATACGTTATACCTGTTTAAAAAAACTTGGTAAATTATAATAGGTGCATTAATACATGTAACTTTATATTTGTTAAGTAAAACGTGAAACTAGTTGTGAACACTTTCATTAGGAATAATAAAATAAAAATGAAAATAGAGTAAAAAAAAGCCTCCCCAAAATATTTGAGCTAGTTACGCATTTGTGATACTAAATATTGCTCTTAAAAAATTGTAATTTAAAGTTGTTTTAACCATGAATAGTGCTTACTATGTATGATTGTGGTTGGAAAAGTGGCATCATGAATAATATAAAAGTATTAGTCTCTATAAAGGCACTTTAGAGTGTTGAATACTTGCAGGGGGGGGGGCAAAGCCCCTACGTTTTTATATTTTAAAAGGGGTGGTAGTCCGTATAACTTTTTACTTGCCCCCCTTTTAAAATATAGTTCGGCGCCACGGGCACCCACATAAAATCAGCTCAGTGGGTTCAAAATTAAACTTATGTGATACATACATAGATAGTCCTATATTTACATTATTAAACAACACATTTTTTGGTTCGTTATAAAAATTCCAGTGGGTGCAAGGTACACACTGGTCCCTCTCTGCGGACGCCCCTGTATGTATTTTATACAATTTGAGATGTAAGCAATACTTTTAACTCTAAATCAACTTAAGATTTAACTAAGTAGAGGTGTATACTGCAATTCCTACTAATGTTTTAAATTAAAATTTGTTTTTTAAAATTTTTCATCAACATTAAATATTTCATAAAAATGTCATGAAATATTTCAAGACCATACATTTTATGAAATTTCAGAACTGCAGCGGCAGTTACTATATATAATAAAATATATCAATAAATATAATAATAAACGTGTATATAGATTATAAGGAAAAAAATATTGTATACGGTATTTAAAATTTAAGTAAAAAAAAGTGGGTTGGTTAATGTCGGAGTTAGAGTTACAGAAATAACTATTTACGTGAAAACTTGTTTTAAATTTTCAATCCTTAACTAAAAAATTTGAAAATTAATACATTTTTGACTACAAAATCATTTTCAATTTTCAATTTCAGAAATTTTGTTAAAATTTGAACTTTAAATGATTATAAAACAAAAAAGTGTATGTATTTTTAATACTTTTCAACTGCTATTGTAACAGTATATCCAAAGTCTTGTATTAAATTTTTAACACAACCAATACAATTTTATTGAAATTTATAAAAAAAAAATTGAAAAAATCCGTAAATAGCTCAAAACGAGTCAAAATATTTTGAAAATATTATAAAGTATATGAATTGATGAAATAAACAAATGGTCTACATTTCATGTATCTACTGTTAATCGTTTTTGAATTACAACAAAATAAGAAAATTGCTACATGATAAATCTAGTGAATATCCAATGTTGTAAAAAGTTCAACATCAAACGCTCATAAAAATTTAATTTTTAGATAGAAGTGTTTTTCTTAATAGTAGAATTTTTCGATGCAGGTTGACAAACTTCTTTTTTCGGGTTTGAAATCTTGAACAAAAGACGAACTTATAAGAAACCCTGTATTAAATTTTTAAACCTAAAAAATAAAAATGAAAATTTTTATGAATTTCTAACTAAAAATATTTTGAAAATTTTTCGTGATTTTCATGTATTTTTTCGAAATTTTAAATTCAGATGCTCATAAAAATTTAATTCTGGCCTTACATTCAACTTTTTTTTTATTTCCACCAACAAAAACTTATGAGAAACCTTGTATTTTATTTTCAAGTTTTTGACAAAGCTTACTTTTTTTATAGACATAAATTGAAAATTTATATGTCTATAAATAGTTCATCGCGAGTCAAAATATTTTATAAAATGTATGGTGTATAAAAAATGCTAATACAAACATTCAGTGAAAAATTCATGTATTTATGGTAATTTTGTTTAAGGTCACACTAAAAACCGAAATCGGTTTTATCAAAAACTGGTAGTAAAATTTCCCGTTTCTCCTTAATTTTTGTTTGTTCTTACTGTCGTTTCTGAAAACTACTTAGAATTTTAAAATTTGACCCCTCAAATGCAACAACTACATTCACTTTCCTACCTGAAATGTTACTGTTGAAGAAAACCGAATCATTTTTACTGCCCCAAACTGTGATGTCAGACACAAAAGTAAATATAAAAAACACACATCATTGTTAAATCAATACATTCATCGCTCAAAATCTAAAATATTGATTAATTAGTGAGCGTGGCATTATATTATTATATATGAGAGACTATTATTATACCTATAATCTATATAGGTATCCAGTAATAAAGAAGTCCAATATTTGTTATAAGATCGGAGATTTCCTAACCTTTTTATAAAGGTACCAGATTTATCAGTAATATTGTAATCTGTAACTAGCATCCATGAATTTCGAAAATTTTCTTGTACCACTCAAAATAAAATTCCACAGATACGTGTGGAGTAAATTAAAAACGTTAAATAGAAATACTATTTTAATAATCATGGTTTATAAAAAGTAATAATATGATGATGAATATTTGAATTTTAATTAAGATTAAACTATTAATTATTTGTTTGTTTACATTATGAGTTTTAGAGTTTATGACCTTAAGGCTATACTCATTTAGTATCTATGGCTGCATACTACTTGCGTCCTCAAAAAAGGTATATTTTTTAGGTAGTAAATTCAACATGTAACTTTCGTCCCGTTTTGTGGACGCAACTCGACTATATTGATCTTCCTACCTGTTATAATAGTCGTAACCGAGTTGCGTCCAAGATAAATAACATAATAATATTTTCAGCATTTGCACACTTTATACAAGAGATAATAATATAGCGTGTTTGTGTAAGTGTGATAAAATTGAATACACACCCAAGGGCGTCTGCAGGAATTTTTCAAGGGGAGGGCAAAATATTTTGCATTTTAAAATTTTGTTTCACTAGATAGGTAGGTATCTTACTATTGATACAGTATTATTTGTGACATATTTTCTTCCATATAGGCAGGGAATGTAAAAATTATTTATGAATTATACGTGGATAGTTAGTTAAAACCTAATCTTACAGCATTCATTTAAATTAAATATTATGTAATTTTAAATTAGCAAATATACATATTTTTTTTTAATAAATAAAATGTTACCATTAATTTGATAAAGTTAGGTAAATTATACCAAGAGGATTTCGATGCACTTTGTATTGTTTTCCGGAACTATAGCTACGCGATACTCGTTTTAAAACATACACAAATAGAAGAAGAAGTTTTTATTTTGCATTTCTTGACGGTTTTAAATTTTAAGGTCATTTTTTGCATTTTAAGATTTTTGGAATATATTTTTTTTAAATTTAAATTTTACACTTTGTTTTAATATTTGCACAATATGCTTTTACATGATTTTTATAATACATATATGATCTAAACCTATATAAAAAAGAATAATTAATTTTCAGATTAAAGAAGTC